CCAGCTATTAGCTCTCTGGGATGATGTCCATCCGTTTCTGGAGACTCATCTGGTCTGTCTGTGTCTGTGTTGCGTCCGTTGATCACTAGCAACTCGGTGTGCGATAATTCAAGCGAAGGATGAGAGAGCAACTGCCAGCAACCTGCGGCGTTGCAACCTTATGATCTTTCACGCGCCTGAGTCCACGTATACAAATTCTCATTTTCGTTATTATCGCGACGTCGAATTTCTGCAGAGCCTGATTGACAGGCTCCTCGACGTGGGTGAACAGGGGTTGAGGGTGAAGCGAATCATCTCTCTTAAGAAAAGAGAGCAGAGGGAGATTCGGTCTCCACTAGCCTGCTTTGCAGATGACACGAGTCCGAGGCTGGTACTATCCCGCCTCGGTAGGCTAAAAGGGTTGAAGATCCACATTCGTCCAGATATGGATCCGTCGGGACCGAGAGAAACTAAAATCCGCTATCATTGAGTTGAAGCGGCATACCGATAGCGTGGAAAGTAACCTCCGCATCGTAAAGTTTCTGGTAGTTTCCCGGGTCCGCCGAACTCGGATCAACAGGTCGATAAAGCTTCTTGCGCACCCGACGGTTCCAACCGCGGCCTGCGCTAGGTTTCACAAACGTTTGTAGTTTAATGAACAAACGTGACGATCTATATCACTTCGTTGCCTCTCTTCGTCCGGGCATACTGGGACTGGCAGAAACGTGGTTGAATCCTGAGGTCACTACCCAGGAATTCCTGATCAGTGGCTACTCGTGCTTCCGATGCGACAGATTATCAAACCAGCGCGGTGGAGTGCTCTTATGCATCGGTCCTTGCTGTGCGGGAAACTGGTAAACACTTACCTTAGCGAAGATGGTCTGTGCGAGCAGCTATGGTGCTCGAACTGCCTGAGACAGGGTGAATTGTTTGCGGGTGCAGCTTATCGCAGCCCGCGAAGTCGATGTCTGGATTGGTTGCCGCCTGCCAGAAGCAACTTGAGTCGGTCCTGCTTCTTGATTATGGGCGACTTCAACTTCCTTCGAATACAATGGCCTGATACCCAACTTCCCGGATACTGAGAAATAGTGACGCAATTTTCGAAGTTTGGGACTGGGACAGCTTAACACGTCTGGAAACCGACGCGAATTGTACCGTATTCCGCTCCATCGTGCTTGGACCTACTATTAACCAGTTGCGAGCAGCGTGTATATGCAATTCTGATCTTGGAGCCTCTGGCAGCTAGCGACCACTCGATGGTCTTAACCAGCCTAGGGCTTCCGCTGCCCTACTCGCGTCCACTGGAGTCATCCTATACTTACTGGAAGACTAACTTCGATGGTCTCAATCGAGCCACCAGTGAAGTGGACTGGTCGCTACTGCGGGATTCATCTGTTGCAGCCAGTTGGGCTGTTATAAATGTGGGTGTACAATCGTTGTGTTCTCGTTTTGTATCCCCACAAATATAGAAATGGTGGACCAGTGAAGCCACATTGGTTTGACAAAGAGTATGGCTAATTAGCTCGATGGTAACGTGTATTGTGGATTAAATTCCTTGTGTCCGACTCTATCGATGATACTGTGGCCTACAAGAGGTAGCGGAATCTATGCAACCGAGAAAAAGCGCGAAGGCGTCAACAGTTCGAAAAGGAGCTCGCAACCCCAGCTAAATCTGCCCCCAAGAAGAGTTTTGCTTAGGCAAAGTAACGTCTGAAGCCTGGAGGTGACCTAGCAGTGTCAGAAGACTCGAGTGGACAGGCTCTGACTTCCAGCACTGAATATGCGTCCACATTTATACAGTCATACAGGGAATCTCCAGGTCAACACAGACGCACTTTGCTTCCGTATTTACAGGTGCGCATGCGTGTATGCCTAATTCGACGTGTGTAGCTCCTACGGAATTCGAGCCCCTGGAATGCGATGTGAAAAATGTCCGCAGTCTACTCACCGATCTTGACGGCACGAAGTCTGCCGGACCAGAGGCCTCCATCCGCTAGTTCTAAAATCCCTATCGGCCAACATCTCGCCTGTCGTGACGGATCTATCCAACAGATTGTTGTTTGAAGGTGCATTGCCGAGCGACTGAAAATACTCGGTAGTGAAGCCGCTCCCGAAGGGTGATGAATCGAATAAAGTGGACAATTATCGACCGATTTGTCAGGCGTTGAACCGGGGGAAATCAGTAGATGTTGTCTACATTGATTTCAGTAAAGCTTTCGATAAAGTGAACAACGAGATCATCCCCCACAAGCTAAGGATGTATGGTGTTGGTGGCGCACTACACCAGTGGATCAGTAACTTCCTCATCTGGACAAATTGGCGGGTACAGGTGGACCACCTAATGGAATGGTACTCGTCCACTGGCGGCTTACCGCAAGGCACAATATTGGGGCCATTTTGCTCCTGGTATACATCAACGAAGTACCTCAGCTTCTTAGGTCACCCTCTGCCTTGTTTGCAGATGACCTAATGATTTGGAGGATTACTGATACTCCCGATGGCCGTGATGTCCTTCAGCAGGACTTCGACCGCCTGTTCCTATAGTCTGCAAAAGTTCATCTGCTGGTCAACCCGGTTAAACCGTCACTTATGAGTCTGGGAGGATGGTAACGGGCATATGTACAGCACAGCCAGCCAACCGCTGAATCCCACAAGCTCCGTAAAAGATCTAGTTGTACTCTCACGCTGTGATCTGAAATCCGTCGACAACACAAACAGACTGTACGGAAACGGACTACGCTTGCTTTGGGCACTTAGACGCAGCTTCTGCCTTCGGTCTGAAGAGATTGCCACTCGCCTGTTCTCTTCCATGATAAGACCGGTGTTTGAGTATGGTCACCCTCCTATTGTTCGATCACAATAGGTGACGTGCAGAGACTGGAACGGGTTCAGCATATAGCTACCCGGTTCATCCCCAGTTTACGAGGTATGTCATACGAGGACCGATGTAGGAGACTAGGGCTGTATGCCCTGTCATCTCGTCGGCTTCGAGTAGATCTCATAATGACGCACCTGAGCCGCTTCCTCATGCTAAGGCTGTTGCAGCACGTTCGCCCACCAAGCAGCACACGTTGACACCGGCACAAATTGGTGATACCGGATTTGAAGCGTATCGCTCATCCTCTGCTTCAAGCATCGAGTGGTGAAATATTGGAACAAGTTACCTTAGACAATAGTCGAAGCTAAGTCTGGGTCGGAATTTAAGAGATTCCTCAACGCCCACCTTGCGGATTACAGGTATAGGGAAGGTATCGCACCCGGAAAGGATGTAGTACAGCTGTAATATGCTGCCACCGCGCAGGATCAGCGACGTAATTTGCGCAGGTGCCCAATTTAATCTCAGTATTCAGTGGCTGGCCTGCCGAACAACCTCTTCCTGATGTCAGGTGGGTGGTCCGGGATTATCTCGGTCCAGCGAATAATTCGGCGGCAGTGTTCCAGGAAGTGGTGGGTTTTCGCCTGGCAAGCATTCTTCCTATAAAAAGCCACATGTGTCCGTTTAACAACTCTGCGACGTGACGGATGTGACTCGCCACTAAATAAAGTCACTGCCCCTTGTTTAACTTTTGTGAAGCATTGTATCCCAACACCTTGCTGCCAAAATCGTGGGGAAGATTGGGCCCCTGTTTGGCTACTCACCAAACGAAATGAACTGAGCACTCAGTTATCGGCTCCCAATGGGTACGAATCCCTGACTTCGCTCCGCTGCCTTGCGGGTGGGCTATTGAGCCAAAGGCTCGGGTTGGAGTCCCATAAGACAACTCCCTACTTCGGCTTGGGCAACCGGGTAGTATCGTGCCCTCTGTGAAAATCATGGCTATTTAAATTACTACTACGTCGCTTACTTCTGCTGCCACTTTCGCTGCTACTCGTGCTACACCATAACACGCCAACTTTTCTCTTGTTTAGAATCTACAACCTGTTGAATCTACTTCCAATGCCCGTCTCGCTAGTATCCAAATCATCCAGCCATCAGCTATCCTTCGACCCCGTACTTCATTCCGTCTGGCAGCTTTCAATGTTCGGACCCTCCTACAGATTGGACAACAGGCTGGCCTGGCGCGCACTCTAGAGTCCCTCGCTATCGATGTTTGTTGTCTTTCAGAGACTCGACTACAGGATCCCAGAACCGTGGTTAAGTTGTAGTCCCCAATTGCTCTTGAGGCCACATATTATCTACGTCTGTCTAGTGACATGGAGGCAGCAGCAGCCGGTTTAACTTGTGTCGGTCACGCTTGAGTGACAAAGCGCAGACTGCATTACTCGACTGGTTTCCAATCGACAGTCGGCTGTGTGCGGTTCGGCTTCAAGGCTCATGTAGAATCAACAGACATCGTGAAGAGAGGCGCCAACTGAGATGCCTGGGCCACCTTTTACACATGTCATACGAACGGCTGCCACGACGCGCTCTCTTCGCTCATTAAGGACTTGTCTGGAAGAAATCGCGCTGTGGGCAGTCTATCACGTGGCGGCGAATGATTAAAGCGCTGAGTTCTAGTTTGGCTATAGTAGATTTCGTCTGTCTTCCGGGCTGGGGGATCAAAGATGAAGAACACCGCTGACTGGAAACTCTCTCGGAGATGACACAGGACCGGGCCCAATAGAAAACGTGCACAAATGTTTGCCTTGACTTGCTTGATTGACATAGCTAACATTAAACAGACGAAAAAGATAAAACGACGTGTGTAAAAAGAACACAAAAGAAAAGCCAAGCTCAAAAAACTATTTTGCAACTTTCATTTTTTCTGTATGGTCTCTGTATTTATTACTTTCTTTCAGGCTTTTCGTTGGTTCTATGTCTGTCTTATAGGCACCACACAAAAGGAACTTATACACATCCCTCTTTGGCAAGTACTCTGGTTAATCAACAGAAATCATTCTCCGAGGGGTCGGTAAATGTTATTTCTCCACTCTTGACTTGTAAACCAGATTTATACTGCAAACCTCTGCAAATTACTGTACCTTACTGAACCTGAATGTTCAGTATGCAGAAGCCGATTTTACAAAGATTTCAATAGTGCTTTCAGATAAAAAAAATCTTGTTTTGATTTCTTTCTTTACCGTTTTGATACATGATATGACAATTATGTGCAGTGTGCAGTATCTAGATTCAAAATATAGTATCACGGGGTATCGAGATAAGAAAGAATGGCATCACAATAATCGCTGGTCGATGTGGCTGACATACTTCAATCTATGGACAACGTTAAAAGAACAAATATAACTTTGCTGATCCTGAACAGTAGTTGAATTAGAAATCTCACCAGTAGTTGCCAGTCACTTTACACACGAAAACATTACACTCCGGTTTCAGTAGTCATTATTGTTGCACTGGCACATTATTGGCTGCTACGGAGATTGGGATGGGTTTGCCAGGGGTACTAGGTACTGCATTCTGCGTCACTGTGCTAACGCGAGAAGGGCATATTTTGTTGCGTAGTGTTGGAACGTTTTCTGGCGTGGGAATTGTCTGTCCAACTGCGGCCTCTCTTCCACATGGAAGCACGTTTTTTGCCATATTGTAATCACCGGAATCGAAAAACTTGACCTGTTCAAAATAAGCATTGATAATAAGTATGTATTAAAGACGCGTAGGAAATATTTACGGTCTTTACTGACCACGCGAAATAAATTTAAATGTAGTTTTGTATTGTTGTAGCATTAATTTTTGGGTACACTATGATGATGACGTCAAAAATTACTCTAAATATTTTGCATTCAATGAGTAATGAAGTGAACTGGGTTTTCAATAACATTTGGGTATTATGGATGTCAAGGGTAAAAATCATTTGCCTACAGGCGGAAAAATGAAGTCGCTGACTACTAGCTCGGGTGTTGACGAGTTGTTTAGCTTTATATAATAAAGCTCATCCGACCCACCTTGTGCTTCACTAAAAATATTACATGTTTTGTTCACAACCACCAGTAGTGGCGTTATTTCTCATCACCTCCTATTGTTTCGATATTTTGCATGATGTTAGCTCCTTGATTATTCCACGTGGAAAACCAAAAGTAAAATTTCGCAAATCTACAGCCTTACAATCACATAGTGACCAACAGTTTGTGATTGCCTAATGTTAGAAAGGTGGACGCTTTCCGCTCCCAGTTTTGGTTTGATACTGTAAACCTTATGAGTGGTACTCGTACATCTCTATGTCACTATTTTGGTCCAGTCCTCTTAGTTTATGCTGACATGGAAGCGATAAATCTGTGCAATTCTTAATGCGTTCTAATTTTTGATAGCGATAGCAATGGTTACAGTTTCAGTGCATCTTTAGCGACACATATCTAATCATCACTGGTGTGATAATCCAACTCCGTATTATTTTATTAAACACAACAACGGGTTCTAACTTTTAAACACAGTCATGTTTGTTCTTGGCGTAAGAATCCATGTTTATTTATATGGTTGGCAGCATCCAGTTCCGGATTTGCCTATCACTGCGGCCAGCCACAGGACGCCTGCGCCTACACAGGGACCATGAGTGGCTTGCGCTGCACTACCCACAGCTCCAACCACACACCCCATATCCAGTGTAAACCCGAAGGAATAATACCGGGAGACATGTGGATGGGAGCCAGGTTTAATCAACGGAGCCGGGTCACACTCCCTGACAGGTAAACAAAAGCAAGCTGTATTTGTGACTCAAGCGCACACATGGCGGTGGCTGGACTGTAGCCCGCTCCACACTGAGTGCATAGAACCACTCTTTGAGCCTAGCACGGTCGCAAAGACCGTGCACCTCACTTCTTCTAGCAACGACCAACTGTCTCTGGAACCAGTATGGATGACGTAATTGGTAATGGACAAGTAAACGCCTTGTAAACACGCACATCAAGTGCAGCCACATCAGGGATATCAAGCAACAGCCAGTCACTTAAAACTATGATATCAAATAAAATAAAGTGATTAATGCATAGTGATACGGTGACATAACTCTTCACTAAATGAGCATATGAAATAACGATTGCCAAAAATCCTCGATTTGTTCAAGACGTCAGCAAATGCTTTTGAATAAAATGCCACAAATACAAAAATGTTAATGAAGTTAATCACAACCAGCTTAACCGACTTGTGCAGGTTACCAGTAGATAGTTCAGGTAAACATTAATATAAGGTAAAGAAAGGCATTAGGACAGTATAGCAAACCCACCACCTGAAATGATGTGACTCAGCATGCAAGCACGTGGTTAGTAGATCGCATTCAGCGTACCTACAAACACTACGCCCATTCTGCCTACGTTTTCTGCAGGACTCATAGTCGTTTCTGTGGTGGCCCCGAGTGGCTACGCTGATGGCTCACGAGGCCTGCCTGACGCACGCACTCGCCACCGCATGTGTTACAGCGCCATGCGCTCGATGTCGATGGAGTACAACCTATCGGTGCTGATCGCTTCCTCAGTTGCCGCTTCTTCTCTTCATGCACGAGTGGTTTTTCTTGCACTTCGGCAAGGGTTTTCGTGCTCCGATCGCGCCATGCACGCCGATCAACGGCTTTCGATTCCCATGGCCTGCAATCAAGGTTAGATTGTGAAAGGCTCACTTTGATCATGTCCTGGCGACGAAGCTTCGGTTTCCCCACATGCCGCTTTCTTGAACTCAGTTGATCATGTAATAGCTGTTTCATTATCCGCGTCGAATCCATATGTCACACATAACCGACCCGCCTCAAATGTCTTAGCAAAAGTATACAGCCCACTGAAAACCTTCCACTTCGGCGCAAAGCTTCCTTGTCCGCAACTGTCACACCAACCAACGAGCAGGATCCGTCGCAGACACTGTTGATGGAACTGCTCGAGATACCGCACATCGCGCCGGTGCATCGTCCACGTTTCGCTGTCGTATAGAAGAACGAACAGCACCATGGATTTGCGCACCATCCGATTCATACCGACAGTATGCTGACGGTTGTTCCACACTCGGTACTGTAGCTTCCCGAATACCGCCGCTGTCTTAGAGACGCGGATGCAAAGATCACTGTGAAGCTGCTGGCCAGTCGACATCGCACTCCCAAGGTAGCAGAAGCAGGAGGTGGTTTCCAATACGTCATCACTAACATGCATATTCACTCACAATTGAGCGGTATGCTTCAAATCGCCTGTACCCATGTTTCCGAAGCAGAAGTTTGTTGCCCCCTACTGCACTACTTTTGCATCAAATTCACTGTTTCGTTGATATGAGAGATGGCTGATGTACCAACGAAAGATATGAATGAATTGCATGACGATTTATGGAGATGAATACTGAGTAACGTGAAAGTCGAAAATTTATCAGCATGTATCATTAAACAACACTTACGTTTTTGCTTAAACGGCGTTGCAGAAGCGCTGATGCCCTGTTTTTTGCAAACGGATATTTATCTTTGAACGCTTGCCCGTCTGGAGCGTTTGGCACAGGCTCATTTTTTAATTCATTCATTTGACAGTTTTATACGTTTTGCCTGATTTCTAGATGAGGTATTTTCAATGAGCTGTAATGAAAAATGAGTTATGAGATAAATTCAGGCTTTTGCGAAACATACTTCAATACAGCAGAGACACAGCTGGGTGACTTATGGTCGGCAGACATGAACATATCGCGATACACATGCTTTTGTACATGTAAACAGCTGTCATACATCATGTAGAACCAAGAATCGGAGTGAACATATGTATACTATCCACAAAATGAAGTTACTTAGATTAGTAAGATTGGCAAAAGCTGTTTTTCATAAACTGAAGTTAGATTTACAGTATAAAAGACAAAAGTAATGTTCGGTTCGAAACATACTAATCTGCCAATGTCCAACATTTATAATTTAGCCTACAATCTCATTGTTATTCCACCTAATGTACTACTATAGGAAACAAATGCAGGAAATTCGTGGCGGCTCCTACTCAACTAGAGTCAAATGGAGCGATCTTTAAATCCCAATGTGGTAATGGCATATAATCAGGTATCTGGTAAAATCTATGCAGATTTAATATAATTTTATAGGTTGGTTGACCATTTCCCTGCCTGTTCAAATTGTAAAAATATTTGAGAGGATCTCGACGATGTGTTATAAGCAAGCGTGACTAGTGGCCATGAAATACCGCCGATGACATTCGTCGGTAAAATTAGACAACGTCCCCAAGCTTAAAAGATTAAAACAAAATAAACTAACTTGCTTAGAAATCATTTGTGGAAATATTACATGTTTCTATTATGCTACACTGATGTGCACCAAGTTATATGCTTACTACGCTTAACTTTTCAGCATGCCATGTCCATACATCTGACGTTGGATTTGTTCCCTTAACCCTTTGGGTTGAGACGTTGTTATTAATACTATCCTACTAGCAACTATGTGTATACAACGTATATTTGCAGGATATATGCCCATCAACGTCTTTATGCTTATAGGCAATATTTGTACCTCAGAGCAAATCAGTACAACATGCTATCATCCAGTGAAAACCTGCTGTTTAGATGTGCAAATTGTTGCGCTCGGAAAGCGAAGCTCCCGGCTTTCACCTGAGCTGAATTCAAAGCACTAGAATCCAGCTTCACAGTTGTTGAGAAGGCATTGGCTGAGCTTGCCTCTCTTGCCTCGCTCAACTCTAAAGTGGATTTGATTATGAAATCTCTGAATATTACGAATGTGGACGCTGTAACGGACTGTCCTTCTGCTGACAGTTTAACCGTTGACGAGGCGTTCATCCTACCGGACGCTCCAGTTCACGTAGATATAACTGACACAGATGCCTCGGACGGCATTGTTGACCCGCCCCAAATGGAAGGCGAGTTACGGGCTCCTGGGCCATTGAAGAATAAGCGTAAGCGGGCAAGGAAAACGCGCAAACCCTTGCCCCTAAACCGGAAGGTGATAAAGTGCTCAAGAAACAGGCGCCTGAGTTGGAAACCCCACCTGGTGTTGCATTTCCCTCAGTGAGACAAGAGGTGCCGTCGTCTTCAGTCCCACCGATTCCCGTCAGACAACCATGTGGCGTGAATGGTAGAGCATGTGGTGTAAATACACCTCGTCGAGGCGATTCTTACACAGATAGCAGTGTGATTTTCAGAAGCGTCACTGAATCCACTGCCGCTTCTCCCACCGAGCGCATGCTTGATGATCTTGGTTGGCTTAAAGTTTGCATGACCAGGCTTTTACCACCAGGTTTCCCTGGCGTTACTGTCAGGAAGCTCATCAGATTGGGGAACGTTCCGGTTGGTCAACCAAATCCTCGACCCCGTCTGCTTAGGGTGGTCATCTCCACCCCAGAAGAGCGCAGGGCCTTACTGAGCTTTGCCTTCAAGCTCAAAGGTACCAACGTTAGTGTGCAACCAGACCTTCCGTTAGCGGATAGGCTAAAGTTAAAGGAAGCCATCAGAGACCTAAAAGCCCGGCGTGTAGCTGGCGAGCAAGGTCTCCGATTGGTGGGTTTTCAGGTAGTCAGCCGACGGTCCTTTTCCGCCCTGCCAGAACCTTTACTACTGGCGCACGACCCAGGGTTCGTCGTGCCGAAGTCCTCCAAGTAGTACTTAGTAACGTGCGTAGCCTGAGGAATAAGCTGTGCGAGGTGGGTCTGCTCGTAGACAAATCTCGTCCAGATATACTTGCATTCACTGAAACGTGGTTGTCTGAGGAAATCACAGATGGCGAAGTATATCTGCCTGGCTACACACTTTTCCGCGCTGACCGCTCCACTGTCCGTCCTATCAACTCCTGGATCGACGACCCGCTCAAGAAGGAACACTTACGGGATTCATCCTATCGTTCCAGTCCCATTTGAACTTGAACTTTAACTATACTCTGTTCTATATGTAAATTACTAACCTGTTTGACACCTATGTGTGGAAAATTTATTGCAAAGTAATGGCGGTTTTGTACTTTACCTAAGCATTACTCTGTACCAATGTAATATACAAGATCGGGAGGACGACGGAGATTGGAACTGGAGATTTATTAAGCAACACGTAGCGAACTACAATAGAGGAAATAATGCTATAAAAAAGGAAGATAGACGTTACAGTCAATCTTCTTCTGCTCGCAATTCTGCCGTTAAAGCACACGACCAGGTTCCCGCAAGGCAAATGAGAGCACAGCGTAAGCACCAGTTCAAAGTCAAGCAGCACGCCGCGACAGTTTCCGTTCCACAATACACTACACCCTCCCTCCTTCGAGCGCCGTCCCCGGTGCTGCCCCGTAGCCCCCCTCAGCTGGTACTTCAAGTGCACGAGCGACCACTGGTAGTGAAGCTGCCCTCTCTGACTCAACTGACACAACTTCTCGTCTACAGGGTTTGCGACGATTTAAATGGACAACTATACGTTGACTATTAGGGTTGTTACGATCCTTTATAATGCGGGTGGCCTCAGAGAGCACTCGTTCTACCGTATATGGACCCGTCCACTCTGGGTGAAACTTTGCCGGCACTCCTGATGCTTGAGGTTGGTGTAACCAAACTAAATCACCAACTTTCGGGGATACGACAGATACCTTCTTTTCGTGATATTCCTTCTGACGCCGATGTACATTCCCTAAATGCACTCGTGCTGACTGATGAGACTGCCAAAGGGAGTCCAACAACTTGCTAACATATTCCATAACCGACGACTGTAGCTGTTGCGTCATCGGTAGACGTAGATCCGAAGGTAATCGTGCCTCTCTTCTTGTCCACATAAGGTATGGTGTCTGTCCCGTCGATGAACTTACTGTGCTCCTGTATACAAGTAGGCGTCTGGGCAACACATTGTCCCACTCATTGCTATTCCTGTCCGCGAAGGCCTTCAGCAACTATTTAAGAGAACGATTTATTCTTTCCACTTGCCCATTTCCTTGAGGATGATACGCTGTGGTTCGAGTTTTGTCTATCTTTGGTAACCGACAAACTTCAATTACCAGTGAGCTCTCAAAGCACTATCCTTTATCCGAGTGTATCTGCCTTGGTGCACACCAGTGGCAGACCCAATTTTTTACCAAGGCTGTTGCCACAGTAGACGTATCCGCCTGTCCTATTGGTATACCCTCGCACCATTTAGTAAAGTAATCGATCATGACCAAAATAAAGCGATTACCTAGTGGCGTCTCAGGTAAAGGGCCTGTGAGATCCACTCCTACTATCTCGTTATGGTAGCCGGCCACCATGTGCTGCAAGGGTGCACGGTGAACGATACGAGGGTTTTTAAAAGCAACACATTCTTCGCACGCTTGACAGTAATTGATCACATCTCTCCGTTGATGGGGCCACCAGAAACGTCGCCGAATCGCTTCATCCATTTTATTGATCCCTGCATGTCCCATTTCCTTGTGTAAATCTCTCAGTACTTCCCTAACCATAGAGTGCGGGACGATGATTCTTCTCGTGTACGTTGGTCCGAAATCGAAAACCAAAACCCCTTCTTCGGTTGTCAGGTAATCCCACATGGCCCAAAGGCAAAGAGCTTTGTAACTTTTCCCTTCCATCTCTTTACTCGTTGGTTTGTCGCCGCCATTAAGACGCCTCTCGTAGATCAATGCGGTATCGGGATCGTTCGCCTGTGCCGTTTGTCACCGACCACGCTCCGCTCCTTGAAGATTGACGATTGCTACGTGTTGCGTATTACACGAAGGGCACTCTCCATGGTTGCGAGGGGAATTCGTGACAATGCATCAGCATTAGCGTGTTGCTTGCCGAGGTGATGTCTGCACTCAAAGGCATATTCCTGCAATTGCTCGTGCCAACGCGCGGTTTGACCTTCGGGGTCTTTAAAATTCTGCAGCCACCGAAGGGATTGGTGGTCTGTGCGGACCAGCAACTTTCGACCTAATAGATAATGTCGGTTTTGTTTGATGAAATATACCAATGCCAACATCTCTTTCCTAGTCGTGCAGTAATTTCGCTCCCTCGGGCTAAGACTGCGACTACGATATGCCACGACTCGTTCGACAACATCCGATCCCAGTTGTGATAGCACCGCTCCAATCGCCTTATCACTCGCATCAGTGTCCAAGATAAACTGGCCAGCAGACGGGGACAAATCGGGAAATATTAACAAGGGGGTCGTACAGAGTGATGTACGTAGGTGATCGAAAGCTTCTGCGCACTGCTTCGTCCATTCGACCCTTCTCTAGCAATGAGTGTAATGGGGCTGCAATGGATGAGAAGTTTCGAATAAATCGCCGGTAATATGATGCTAATCCGAGAAAACGACGTAACTGATCCGTAGTGGTTGGCGTTGGTCACGATCTGACCTGTTCAGCCTTTACCGGGTCAGTTGGAACACCATCTCCAGATATTGTGTGCCCTAAGTACGCCACTTCATTTTTTCAGGAGAGGACACTTTGAGGGCTTAAGCTTAAATCCCACTCTCACCAAGCATTCCGAAACACTCGCCAAATTGTCCAAGTGTTCATCTTCCGTCTTTCCATGTAGGATGACATCATCCAAATACACCAGGCATTTACGCGGGATCAGGTCGGCTAATGCTTTTTGAACAAGGTGTTGGAAGGTAGCTGGAGCGTTAGGTAAGCCAAATGGCATGGTCTGAAACTCGTACAACCCGGAGGGCACGACAAAGGCGGTTTTCGCTCGATCGCTCTCTTCTGCTTCCACCTGCCAGTAACCGGAAGCCAGCTCAAGGGCGCTAAAATACACAGATCCACCAAGTGCGTGGAACAGATCGTCTACCCTTGGAAGAGGGTAGGCGTCCTTTCGAGTAGCCTCGTTCAATCTTCGGTAATCGACGCATAATCGGAAGCCACCGTCCTTTTTCTTTACCAGGACAACAGGGACGCCCAGGGGGAGTTGGAGGATTGGATAACGTTCTTCTCTAACATCGCACCTAGCAGCTTCTGTAGCTCACCCTGCCAGTGGATTGGAATACGTCTCGGAGTCACTTTAATCGGTCTAGCCACACCAGTGTCAATAGCATGTTTCACCAGGCCGGTCCGTCCCAAATCGCCGGATTTCCATGCAAAGGCGTCTGAATAATTTTGTAGGACCTGCGCTAATCGTGCCTGTGTTAATGTGTCAGCTGAAAGCCCAATCGACCGAATAAAATCGTCTACACCTTGTTGCTTTTGATACTGCACTCATATAACGTAAAATCCTCAAACTTGCTGTTGCTGTATGCTCTAAGTAGT